AGGTTCGGGTGTTTGATGAGAACCGAAAGGAGGGTTCGGTCCGAGCAGCATCGCAGGCGAACACGGAAGAGGGACCGAAAGCGAGAGGAGCGAAGGCGAAGGGGCTTTCGGGTTCGGTCTCGGATCTGCTTCGGCTCGCCAGGGTTTCGGTTCTTCAGCAGTTCGGTCCAAGCAGGTTCAGTTCTTATAGCTAGCTTCGGTTCTTAGGGTTTCGCCTCTTATGGTTTCGCTTCTTAGGGTTTCGCTTCTAAGATGTTCGGTTCCATTAGGGTTTCGGTCCTATAGGGTTGTTTTACCAATAAACTTCCCGTTTTGCGCGGTTTTTGACTAAGTTAAGGGTCGGGATTCCCCGAATGATTATAAAAAGTTGAGGGAGGTTATGAGAGAGATTTGGGAGAGATTTGAGAGAGATTTGAGATAGAGAGAGATAGAGTGAGAGAGATTTGAGATAGAGAGAGATAGAGTGAGAGAGATTGAGAGAGACTTTGTTTGTGACCTTTGCGAGTGTTTAGCTTCGAAATGCAAGGTTTGTAAACCCCGTTTTGCCTTGTTATGAGCGTTATACGCCCCCGAAGGGTATGAAATTACGTTTTATCGAGTAGTTCCATCACTTACCCTGATTAGGGTTTAGATTTTCTGAACACGTGAAGACTCAAAGTAATACTTTGCATAAAGATAGTGTGTTGTACAATAGTAAACACGATGTAAACCCTAATATACAAGGGTTAATTGAGTTGACCGGTTTGACTTGTTGACTTTATTTGACTTTGACTTGACCGTAAATTGACGGTTGTCACAGTGTGGCAGTTTTGCTGTGTTTGGGATTTCGTAGTCTAGAAGCTCCTTGGCGAATGGAGACGTTACACTGCACGATAGGTAGTCTTGGTTTGGGATAGAAAAAGCACCTTGTGAGTTGTATTGTGGGACTGTGGTATATGGATGCATAATCGTGTTGTTGTAGGGTGAGTAGTGGTTAGGGTTTGGCCCATAAAATGCTTGGTGTGGAAATGGTACGGTTAACATCTGGGTGGGAAATATGGGCGAGCTTTGTGTATGGGGGTTGTTAGGTGTGATCTGTTGGTAATGCGGGGTCGTAGAGGGAAAATAGGTATTTGCTGGAAATGGGGGTGTCGGGAAGGCCATTGTTTGGTTTCTCGCCGGCTGGTCGAGTGGTGGCATTTGGAGAGCCACTGGCACTTCTCCCGCCATCTGTGCTATTGGTGGTGAGAAAATCGTGGGTTGTGCCCCTATCGCCTGGTTTGGTGGTGGTGTTGTTTGGAAAACCACCGGTTGCGCAACTGTCGTCAGGTTTAACGGTGGTGGTGTCTAGAAAACCACCGGTTGCACAACTGCCATCTGGTTTAGAGGTGGTGGTGTTTGGAAAACCACCGGTGGCGCAGCTGTCACCTGATGTATTGACGACTGTTGGAAAAGTGCTGGTGTGACGCTGAGGTCTTCCACCGCCGACGACACCACACCAGTTGGCTCTGCTGGAAGATGGGATGTCTGCGTCAGAACGCATGTTGATGACACGGCGACGTAGGAAGGTTGTCCTCGGTAGATGGTTGCTCTTATTTGGCCAGTGGTACGACAGCTACCGCTGAACCGCCCTTGTTTGACGTTTCTCCAGTGATTATCGCACGAGGCGGGGTAGGGGTTTGTTCTAGCGACGTCGTAGACTGAATGGGGCTGGTTGGTGTTCCGCCGGTTCCACCTATATCACCGGATGCCATTTTTCTCTGATGAGTGGTGTGCTTTTGGTTTGTTTTTCGTCACACGACGGATGACACCAAATGATGTGACGTAGAACTCCGCTCTTCGTCCTCCGGACCGAGTAATTTCGGTGAACCTGCGAGGTCACAGTAAGAAAGAGGCCGTCAGCCGTTCTCCGGGAGGAGCTCCCGAGAAAACGCTCTGACGGTCAAGTCAGTGAGTATTCTATAGGGTTGAATGGAGTGTAAACTGGTAGAGAATCACTTACTTCTAAAGGCACCGAGGGTATCCTTTTATACTGAATTCTCCTGCTAGTCCGTACAGGACAAGGGCGTCAGACCCGACATGATCGGGGACGCTGATTGGTGGATCGTGCTCCTGAATTTTTCAGGGCTAACGATTGGTTGCGGCGGTAATGCCTTGAGCATCTGCCTTGTCGCCTGACTGTTATGTTTGTCCTGGAGCGAAAGGCGAGCCAAGCGGAGCCGAACCTTTTTCGAGAGCGCCCTGCTCTTAGGGGCGCTGACGAGCGTTGGATTCTGTTGGGTTCGACCGGTCGGGCACGCTACACCTTGGGACGTCTTCTGCAATGGCCGGGCGCGATCTTTCCGTGCTCGCTGAGGCACATCATCATTTTCTACCGTGGCCGGGCGCGACTCTTCCGTGCTCGTTAGGGCACGTCATCAGTAGCGTTTAAGAGAAAAACTATTAAGCTTTTTAATTTATTTCCATAATTATCCTATGTTTCACATTTTGGTTTTAGATAGATGTCATTTCAAAATTTCAAACCATTTTTGACAAACACTCATATAATAAAAGCTACAACTATCAATTTTCAGCTACCGACTTCCTGTTACCAACAAATTTTCTAGTTACCAACATTTATCAAACACACGGTAAGTATTTTAATAAGTTTATGTATTTTTAAAAAACAAATGATGAAAATCGGGTCGAGTGTGGTTGTCAAATCAAAAAAGCTGTTAAATGGGAACCCCTTTAACCTTTAATAAATAGTTAACAAACAACAAATTGGGAAAAAGGGGCAATTTGGTCAATTGGTATTGGCGGGCATTTCGCCTGAATTAGGGATATCAAGATACCACTACTCCTGTCTCCTAACACAACAAACACTTCACCAAAAAACCACATACTTACTCCAATAACACACACAGTATCCAGATTACTCTTCCTTTCTCTACAACAGTTTCAAGAACAAACCAGACCACACACATCTGTCGTTTCTTTGAGTACTACTGAATTTCGAAGGAGATGAACATTAATGACGATGAGACGATAGATTATGTGTATAAAGTGGTGGTGATTGGTGATTCTGCTGTGGGGAAGACGCAGATGCTGTCAAGGTTCACAAGGAACGAGTTCTTTTTTGATTCGAAATCGACGATCGGAGTTGAGTTTCAGACGAGGACACTGAATATTCAGTCGAAGGTTATCAAAGCTCAGATCTGGGATACTGCTGGTCAAGAAAGGTAAGCAAACCTCTCTCCTCTTTCTCTGTTCTTCGGTTAAACTGTAAACGCCACCTCCGAGCTCACGGTTGCTCCGGCGAAAGTCCTACTGTTCCTATTTACAGAAATATAATGAAACCAAGAAACAATAATGATGATATAGTTTGTTTATTGTTTTTTTTTTAAATGAAATGTGTCATGAGAGTATACTTTGTTGGATAAACTTCCATCTCGAATTGTGTTTTCAAGAAAGAACATGAAAATGATGTTTTCTTGTTTGCATACGTTTTGTAATAGTTTTATTTTATATTTATTAAAATATCAAATTTGAGAAAGTAACTAATATTTATCTTTGATTATTTGTTTCATATACGGGTAATACATAGAAAAACCTACTATTTTTGATTATTTGTACACTTTAATTATTGTGAATAAAAGTTTTCGACTAAAGCCAATCAACATTTGACAACATACATGTTAAAATGTCACAATATAAAAGTTGTCAAGTTAGTAGCTTTAATTTGAATAGAAAAAGTTGTCAAAATGTTCCATATGAACAAAAACTATTTTGTTATCCATATTTTTTCTGTTTTGACCAATTTAAGTTTAACCTGTTAGAAATATTGTGACATATCAAAGTGGGTCGACATAGGGAAAATTGTAAAACTTGAGGTGTTTATTAAGCATTTTGATTTACAGTGGCTAAAACCATAAAAAATCAATCGTAATTTTTTGCGATATCATTAAAATTTTACATAACCAATCTAGTAATATTTTTCGGTTTACAGTAGCTTTCATTTACATCAGAAAGTTTTTTGTTTTTATTCAACTTAATTCAGTTCAAATTAAATGTTTATCTATATATACATCGATACCCGCTGCACATTACAGTACTTTTGTATATTTCATTAAATATTGCTAGAAATGTATTAAAAATGATTACAATATTCCTTTTATCCATTTGTCATTTTATTATATCCAAGTATTCAACTACAGAGTCTCTAGATAAACTTTAGGAATACAAATTTGTATCTATACAGTTGTATAGTAACATGGACACATGGTATAATCTTGAAATATCAATAACCAGTTATTTGATAAGCTCGGTTGACCTATTTACTTTTGTTTTAGTTCGAACAAATGACCAATGTAGAAAAACAATAATTGCCAAATCTATATAGAGATCATATTCCTTTAGAAAAAACAAATAGATCCAAGTTAATAAATAAGTTATCTAGAAAAAAATACATATATTCAAATTAAATAGTAAATTTGTATGGACCAAGTGTCATAGGACCAGATACGAATAATAATGAGAGACAATATATTGGTTTAAAAAGACAGGAGTTGGACAATGATTGCGTTATATGTAAAAGGGAAAAAAACCCAATTTAATTATATACTACGTTTTAACGCTCAAAAAAATTATTAAGTTGTATTTTTGTTGATTAAAACCATATTACGTTATCATTATATTATAATAATGTATTTACATTTAAATGCCCATTAAAACTAGAACAATGACTTTATAAAGGCTGATCACAATTTTTTTTTTAAAAGATTAGAACAGAAACTGGTCACGAAGCATTAATTCCGGTAATATAGGAATATAAAATGGTTTTATTGGATATAAATATAACATAATGTTTGTTTTAGATCACTGCGAGATAATACCTTGAGTTTTATGAAGTTTTCCTTATTCAAAAATAAGCTTTTTTACATATAATATTAGATTCGATTATAGATGTATAGAAAGCTAATAATTGAGAGACAAGATGAGTGTTATGATATAAACATTATTAGACAACAATAATCATGTAGCAAACTAGCAATCGCATGTGCATATGCCTTTCATGCCATCCTGTTTTAGGCCCCATTAAAATGATAAAATCACACAACATATCGATCTCATTCTTTAAACAATATTAATTTCCAGTTGCTTCAATAATCATCTCTTAATCCCTTTAAATTGACACAGATATCGAGCTGTAACAAGTGCATACTACAGAGGAGCATTAGGGGCAATGTTGGTATACGACATCAGCAAAAGAGAATCATTCGATCATGTTGCAAGATGGGTGGAAGAGCTTCGTGTTCATGCAGATAAAACCATTGTTATTGCTTTGATAGGAAACAAAGCTGATCTTGAAGAGAAAAGAGCAGTTCCTTCAGAAGACGCCTTGGAATTTGCAGAAAGTCAAGGGTTGTATTTCTTTGAAACCTCAGCACTTACAGGTGACAATGTGGAAGCTGCTTTCTTTAAGCTTTTAGAAGAAATCTATTCTGTGGTTTCAAAGAAGACATTGGAACATGATGTTGGGAAATCAAATGGGGATTCTTTGAATACGCTTAAAGGCTTGAAAATTGACGTTAATGGAGGACCTGATTTGGAGATTAGTGAGATGAAAAAGTTATCTTCTTGCTCTTGTTGATTAATCCGAGTATGTTGAAAGGAAGTGAAAGTCGAAAATCACACGTATTGTTTGTTAACTTAAAAATTACAAAA